TATCTCTTCTTAGAGATGTACCACCAGAGGGTCCAAAACGTATTTTTGTTTATTTATTCATTGTTATGTTATTATTGTATAAGCCGGTATCGCGTACAACTGTTGACTGTTCCATACCAACGCGATTCGTGGAAAACCAGCTGTTCACTAAGTATTGTATTTTCTGGACTTACACCGAAATTCAGGAAAAAAAACGAAATCGACGAAACTCTCTTCTCACTTCCAAGAATAGCTTTACTTATTATTCTACATTATATTACAATAGCATATTTTCGTAATAATTATTTCTTGTTTGACGTTTTCGGCGTAAACACGGGTAACGTTTGCAAAATAAAATATTATCATCAGATCACGACGCATTGTCACATTAAACAATAGTATATCTAATAATACGATTATCGGAATCCACTACCCATGATTCATCAGACTTTGCTCAGATCCAATGAGTCTGCGAGTACTAATATAACATTGTAAATCTTAAGTACTTTAATATTTATTATTATTTGTATCATCTCCTGAATAATATAGTTCTGCTAAATCATACTTAATAGGGAAAACAATATTGTCGTATTTTTGTATTATGGATCGAGAGTGTAATGTATATCGTGATAATATTATGTTTTGTACTGATTGTGATTGGATAATAATATTATGCAAAATTATTTGAAAATTATTTTATATTCCACGTAAAATTCTAAAATGGTGCTCACTTACCCCTTGGATTATGATTTCCGTATTATATTATAAAGAAGTTGAGAACCTCGATTTTATTACTATCATTTAATATTTGCTTAATGCTATTACTAAAACTGGTCAAATATTTATCATACTAAAAGTCAATTAATGTAACTTCCGTTCGGTATTATTTAAACAAAAATACAAGCTTTAAAGTTTAATGAAGAGGTGGTATACACACGAGGATAAACGCTGTGAAACACCTCGTGTATAAGAAATTAATATTTTACATTTTTCTTAACATAAAATAAAAATCATCGAAGGTTTAATTTATATATCTCTATATTTTTTTATGTGTATTCATAATATATTATATACGCAGTATGTACTTAATATCGACGACAGAATAACCATTATGATTAGTTCTTTATTTATAAGTTTTTTTTTTATCTCACGGACAATATGTTTTTGTTATCCGAATGTAAGGAAGTTAGGATACAACCTTGGATACAAGGATCTGATTCTCAAGGATCCCTGAAGATCGTTATAAACGGATTCTACATTATGATATTATATTCATTAGATCTAATATTATTTACTCTGGTTCTAAAACTAAATTCGACTGAGTTACAAATATTTAAAATTTGAAAATAATTCGAATTTTTTAATTTTTTTAAAACATAAACATTAAGCACACCTCCGACGACTCTTGACGCCCCTGTTGAGTGATATTTTTTTTACTTCGGGTTAATTGTAAAATATTCACCAAAATGTGTATTTCTGCAACATCTAGCTATCACAGCAAACCGTATTTCAATCTACAGACATCAAGTTAAGATAATTAGTGGTACATGTATAAGATGGGACATAATAATATATTATACGTGATAATCCATCGTTGGTTGTAAACGTCAATAAACGACTATCACATGTACGCGGGATGTAATATAATATTAAAATAATAATATTCCAGTGTACAATTTTACGATATTTTATTTTTATGTGCAAACTTTATAAAATACGTTATATTAGCTGATATAATATTATGGTGTATACATTGTGACGTTTATTGGTTATCGATCGCACGATAAACCGCTAGACGATTTGCTCGTTTAGATAATATTGTATTATTATTATTATTATTATTATTATTATTATTATTATTATTGTTATTGCTAGGTGCTCAGTATTCTATCATTGTTACGGGTCTTGCGTGGGATTGACTCACATAAGATGTCATTTATTTTCAAAGTCTAAATTTAATTCTAAAAAATATTTGAAACCAGAATACTATTTATACAACAGGAATGTAGAGTGATATTTATTTATTTATGCATAATATGACAATAATATAATAATTACCGTAAAATAATAGTAATATTTTTTCCCACTTTTGTTGGCAAAAGTTCTTGTGTTTAAAAATTCAAAAATTCAATTATTTGGAATATTTATGATTGCATTCTATGAGTGACGAAGAAATTATATATGCCTAGTTATGTGGCCACAGGCGTTATAATATTATAATTTAAATAGAGGTATTAAGCAACTTTAAATACTATAAGGATATAATCATCCATTTGAATAGGTTTATGAAAACATTGTCTGTGTTTAGTTTTAAGTATTTAATAGACTAAATATTACATCTATTTTATATTTTATGTAAAACCATTATTAAGGACAATTATTACTGACTAGTTATTATCTTTGGATTACAACTAGGAAACTTTTCATTTGAATTTCGATTTAGATACATCAACGTTTTAAGAAAAAAAGTGTAGTATGTACTACCACAAGACTCTCTACAAAAGATAGAATAAAACTTAAGTACCGATTTCAAAATATTTTATTTTAGTAAAATATCTAAAAATATGCTTGATGAATCAACCCGTGTATCTATATATATTTTAAAACCCGAAGAATAAATAGTGCGTTGTTTAATATAAGTTTGAAAGCTATTTGAAATCAACAGCTTCATAAGAAAAAAACGGTATCTCGTAAAGTAAAGTCCAATTTTCATTCAGAAAAAGATTTTAAATTCAGTTTTTCATCAAATTCTCAATCTGTAAACCCGTACCATAATCCTACGAGATGACTAAAAAAAATATATAGCAGAGATACCTACTTATCTAAAATACTATACGCATCATATAATATATTATATTCATGCTTGCACGTTTTTTTTTTTTTAATAATGCATGTACCTATAATTCAAATTTTAATTATTGTAATTTCAAACAATTCTTTAGGACCATTATTTTGAAATACTTGAATCTAAGAAGTGTCGTCCAGGGAAACGAAATTTTTTTCAAATGAGAACTATTTTTTTACTGTAAGTTATTGGAAATAGAAATTTGAATGAATAGTTTCTGATTTATTGAAATGTACCTATGCATTACGGATAATAATAGGTCCATAAAATGGGTTGGTTGAAATGAAGATTATAATGTTGTGAAAATTATAGCAATTTATTTGTATTAGGTAATCTATAAATATATTTTATTATTTTATTTGTAATAGTTAGTAAAATAAGTATGTTTGATAATTTCAAAATTCAGAATTTGAATGAATGCATTATTATAATAGATAAGATATTAAAATAACAGGAGAAGGAGGATTATAGATATTATTATTAACATTATATTTTAAATTATAACCATAAAAAAAATATATACAATATACATAAACTGATATATATATAATAATAAAAGCATTTTATGCTTTTATCATACAAATCTAATGTAAATAACTCATACCCAATTAGGTACTTAATATATTTATAAAAAATGTACCAGTATTTTTATTAAAAAAATGTAAGACATTTAATTTTGGATTTGTGTTACCCTAAAAGTGAGTCTCAAGAACAATATGGTGCTAATTTTTTTTTTAATTACAACACATCACAACTTTTTATCACTATTACAATCTGGAATGTGAAAATCATTTTTATCACCCGTAAATCGACCCATCCTACTTTATAATCATCGCTGTGGCAGTTGAAATTCTTTAATAATAGGCGTAATAATATACGTGGTTTATAACTCAATACAAATTCGATAAAAAAAAATTGACTTGTACAAGTTTCAAGTAGCACAACGGTTGCTCTACAAATACTGAAATATACATTGAGCCTTTTCCTCGCACCACATACATTTTTAACAGCTTCTTGCGGGTTTGTTTCCTCCCGATCTGGGCCAAGAAAAGAACTCGCTCAAACAAGTCTCAACCACCACTGAAACCGTATATTATCGAATATCGGGACGTCGTATATCGATGACATTTCTTTCGAACCATTTTATACTACACGCGAGGTATACGAACAGCAGACATCATGGGCTTCCTGCATATTATATTATATTTTAATAGTAGAATATATTTATATACATTAAAATAGCTATTTCATTCTCAAAATACAGGTTTCCGGTCTGTGGAACTTGCGGCTTGCTTTTGGACATATTCTGTCGTATCAATAAATAATTGTATTTTTCGAGTGTGCTCCCTGCTGTATAATATGGGTGCTTGACACATTTGATAGTGCTTGACGCGTATTCATATGCACGCAGCGTGCTATTTAGACATATTATTTTCGTGTAGTACCCATACAGCCGATAAACGGACAAAATTCACAGGGACATTTTCAAAAAATATGATCAACTGAATACAAATTGTAATAAATTAAAAAATATTGAATTTATTAAATGTATTATTTAAAAATAATAAACAAAATTTCAAATGATGGACTATAAGATAATAATAAAATATTATACAGATCATACGAATTGTACAGTACAATTCGTACCTATATTTAATACAAATTTTCTCAAATTGTTATTACTGCAGTTCAAAAAAAAAAAAGAAGAGCGTAAATTCACAATAGTTTTTATTGAACGTTGTGATAAAATTCCTCAAAATCGTGAAACTTTGCAAATTGTTATGAAATTAGAAATTCTTAAAATATTGCTTTTTATATCCAAGACAATTTATATATAATATTTTTGAATATTTAATACAAGATTCTTCATAAGTCTATCTACCTATTATTCTATTATTAAAAAAAATGGTTTACCGGAAAGTCACATCATTTTTAATGCAGAGCGTTTGAACTGTTTGAAGTTAACATTTTTAATACAGGATATTCACCCTCAAAGTCAGTAGTAGTTGCTTCTTAAAAAATTGTTTTATTATATTGGTATTCAAAATCAAATTTTTGATTATTTTTTAAAAAAATTTTTATCAATAAAAAAAACTGTCGTTCCATCGAAAAACTTGCATATCGAATACAAGTTTCCTCATACATTTTAATTATAATATTGTTTTGTGTTTCGCAGCCAAATGTACGGCGGGGCGCACGGCACGCCCAGCCGAGTGCCGCTCCTAAGCAGTAACCGTCAACAGCAACGGCGGCGTGGTGGTGCGGACAAGGACAGGCGACAGAACATCACGACCGCCGCCACCGCTTCGGAACAGTATCACCGCGAGGTTGCTGCTGCGGCGGCGGCCGCTGCAGCGGCCGCAGTGGCCGCGACCAACAACAAGCGGCCGAACAAGAGGCGCAACGGCGCACCACCCGGCGTACCGGTGGCCCTGGTGCTGCTCGTGTTGGCCGGTTACATTTGTCTGGGCGCGGCCGTCTTCGCCGCATGGGAGGGCTGGACGTTCATCGACGGCGCGTACTTCTGCTTCGTCACGCTGTCCACGATTGGGTTCGGCGACCTGGTGCCGGGCAAATCGTTCCAGGGCACCGACACGCAAAACGGACAGCTGCAGTTGGTCGCGTGCTGCGGTTACTTGCTGTTCGGCCTGGTCCTGATCGCCATGTCGTTCTCGCTGGTCCAGGAGGAGGTGGTGTCCAAATGCCGGCACGCCGCCCGCTACGTGGGCCTACTCAAACAGCCACCTCGGCCCGGCACCCAGCCGTACGCCTTGTAATGGCCACCTACAACCCTCATCCTCCACCCATACGTGTCGCCCTTTTTCGTTACGCGTTTAAAAAACCAAAGTTACAAAACATATGTCCAAAACATTATCCCCGAGTCACGATAAAAACCCGACCACGAAGGCAGCATATTATTATGCACGATGAGCACGAAATAATTTCTTTCACTTTAGAATTTTTAAACGAAACCAAATAGTCTTTTTTCGCCGATTTGTATAAAAAATCAGACACGTTCACTCTCGAACTTTCCGGGACACAGAAGTTTTTCTTAGGGGGTGTGCGGGTAATGATTATCACCCCTTATAGTGCGTTGAAGGATACGTATCCAACAGAATCACTCGATCGATCGCTACCGTACATGCATATTATAAAGTAAATACAATAACATTATAATATATAAGATTATTAATGCTATTTTTATTATTTATAAAACCGTGACGTCGTCTCGACATATGCATCTGTACCCTCCATATGATAATATATGTACTATTTACGATAGTATAAAAACGGCTCCCATGACGAACGATTTCCTAGTATCTTTTTACTCGCTCTCTCTCGCTCTATCTCTCTCTGTACCCAATCTCTCAAAACACGCACATACGCGAGGTAACACACTGTTGGGTACACCCGAAACGTGCACACCTGTTGACATAGGGTTTATATCTGAATATGCGCATATCAGTTTTTGGAATCTATATCATTGGAATACATTAAATAATTTACACTAACATAGTTCCCAAACATCGTTGCTGCAATTCAACGATTTGTTTAAAAGTTTTTATAAACGAATATCACTTATAACTCAGTTGAAAGTCATAAATCATAATATTATTATTATACTTGTTGCACGTTGAGCAGATGATTGGGAAACGTTGGTCCAGCTGAAATAAACTAATAATACTTTTCCCAGCAACCCAACGAGTAACAACTATATTATACTAACGGCAAAATATGGCCTGTTATACTATTAATTGTGTTCTGTCCGTTACTCCGCTCTATACCAAACACTTCTGTTTGAAATTTTCCTCCGAATGAAAGAATTAACCACCCACGTCCCACACTGTTGCAAACGACGTTTATATGTTTATAAGTTTAAGAAAGTTAACTTATTATAATATTATTGTGTTTTGTTTACGTTTTTCAAAACGAGTTTTGTTCTTTATGTATAAAATTATAAAATTATTATAAAATCGAAATAGATGATTAAACTTTGACTCTTATTTATTCACGTACCAACCAAAAATTGAAAAACTACGTACCTTTATAAAAATGTCATTTTCTAGTCAAATGTACCTATATAATTACTATATTATTAAAAATGTATATTATTTTAAGTATAAATTATTATTTTTAACTAAATATTTATACATATAATACCATTATACCTATTATATAAGCTATAAATTATACTATAAAATATGTTATATTATGATAATATCTTGTAACCGTATATAACTCATTGAAAACACATTGTAAATGTTTTCTATCATCTATATTGATAAAGTTGTAAATAAAATATGTTTTATTTTAAATAATTCAATATCGTGCCGGCCACTTGGAATAACTGTGAATAACTGTTCACAAGTAGATACTATGTATAAACCAACCTGCCTAATACCTAAATACGCATATTATTTCAAATGTCGATGATCACGAATTAATTTTTCATGTTTTTTTAATTGTTCGTTATTTGCACTCGGGAAATTGGCATACTAATTTTTTAGAACGGAAGATATACAAAGCATATGATATTTTATTTATTCAAATATATATATGTGATTGGTTTTGAACGTACAAGTATATAATAATATATTTATACATGCCGTACATATAATATATATATATAATTAGGTAACATGAAATACAAAGTATTGTTAATTGAATGATATTTTAAAATTACAAAAATATAACTAAAATCAATATTCAGAGTTTAAATACCTAATTTCGTCCTAATTTAAACTTGAAATGTCTAAAAAAAAAACAATGTAATGTAATACTTGTTTACATTTTTTGATTCCAGCATTTTTGGAACTACTTTTAAGCATTTTTGCATTTATTATTCTTCTAATACCTAATGAGACAACATCGTTATGTTTTCACCACAATCATAAGAGTAAAAAATTCTTTCAGCGATGATGCGCTCGTCGGAGAATGGAGATAGAAAATACTAAGAGGTTGCTTTTTGAAGCACATACACTTTCACACAACATTATATGCTCGAGTTAATCGTAAAATATGAATAAAGTATCATGTTTTTTTTTTTAATCAACCTGCAAAACAACGGCCTTACTACAGTTACTTGTATTTTCATATTTATAAATTCATGTTTTTAGAGGTCTTGTGACCTTTAAATTCAATAAGGAACATTTATAGGCAATTTCTAATATACTCGGCCATTGGCTGTATTTTTGGGTTGTAGTCATAAATTATAATTCGTGGGAGTATTATAAATCAAATATAGTAAAACTTAAACGTCTTTTTTACGCAGTCACATGCAAATGTCAACAATCTATTCTGCAAAAACCCTTTTATTTTTCACGATTACACGATTCTATACTATTGCAGTAGTTCGCTTAATATTTCTTATAACCTCACCCTAATTTTCATGCTGAAAAAAATATTCAAATTTCCCACGATCGTGAAACGACCAAAGCATAATAATATTTTTAAATATTTTATGGTCGATTAAACAGACGTAAGGTTTGAAAATTAGAATGAGCAATTGTTTTTACTGAACAATGAACATACGATAGCCCATGCTTTCCATAAGAACTCTAGCTCGCAGAACCCTCCGAGTTCATTTGTTTTTCCCCCATTTTCTCACTCTCATATATAACTACAAATATTGCTTGCAATATATTATAACCTCCGATAACTCGGCGTGCGTCAGTGTTTTTTTTTTATCTATAGTCGAATATAGCTTTTTCATTTCGTTTGACACTACAGAGACGCCTGTCAAAAACTTCATTTTTGTTTTTGTGTTTGAAAAAAGTTTACCTTGCTTCACTAAACATAATATATTTTAGTATACAGGTAGGTAGGTTGGTAGGTACCTACCTTTTTTTATGTCCTGTCGTTTTGAAATTTTTACAACATGAAAATAAACATCTACGGATGATGAAGTTTGAGTACCTACCATACTACCATGGGGTATATTGATAAAATGTTATCCAAGGTGCCGGCGTAATAAAGATGTATAGTATTATATATCACACAGGAACAACTGAGCACACAGGATAAAACTAATTATATAATATATATTAAATATGAATATATTATAATTATAATACTATTTGAACAATGAAATAATAAAATTAATGTGATAAGACAATTTCGACACTACACACAACGTGTAGGACGTAGGTACCTTATATGAGATGGATATTAATTAATAAACAGTAACAATGCTTAAGGAAATAAATAAAACAGGGCTCTGAACAATATAAATAGGTACTCAGTAAAATATTGTACCTACCTATCATACTTGATAATTGCAATAATTTTATATGATAATTTTGTTTAACTTAATGATTATTGATTATGAAACATATTTATATTTTATTTTGTTAATTTGGTAATTTAACTGTTATATTTTATGTTGATCATATTATATACTAATGAGTATTCAGTATTGACGGATACAGTGAATTTATGAATTTTAAATTGTTTATACCTATTACCAATAGATTTATATAACCCTTTAAAAACGTTGATCATTTGATAATCATGGAGTCTTATTTGCCAACACATTGACTGTTAATGACTGTTGAATGTTGATAATAGTATATACTTTGGGTATAAAATATGATTACGTTAATTTTAAAGCCAAAACAATACTCGTAAATGGTAGGTACGTCTAGCAGTTGAAATTGGCACATACACACGAATTTACCATGTTTTAACACCATAACGGTTAACAATTACTCGATAAATGCCAACAATGCTGACAAACCATGTAACGGACATCCGACAGAAGTAAAACTGGAAGTCAGAACAAATTTCTAACAGTTTAGTTGTGTATCATAAACTCATAAGTCATAAATCATAAACATACCATTATATCCACAAGACCTGTTTCATCGCAGATATTATGTTATTGGTAGCGTATATGAGAAAGAAAATTATTCACGTCATAATGGCTGCAGCAGGTCGACCCCGAAATTAGCATTATGCATTTATTTTATGCCACCAAAACGGTTTATTCTGGACCAAAACTTATAACAGCTTATAACAGCCTACCACGTATTTGATGTTTCTGGGCGAACAACTCGTAAAACTGAAAGTTGACGACTTTTAAATCTGTTTTTAAAATAATGGAAACATAAGAGGGTAGCACAAGAGGTACCTAACTGGGCGTTTAAAACGATTTTAGCATTATTTTTTTTTGCTATTCGGAATAGTCAACCAAAAAAAATATTTATATTAATACATCACTATAGTATACCTACACGCCTGGGAATACTTGTAAGTCACTCAACGTTTATTTACATACTTATACGACACCACGTGACACGTGTGCTACACCGCATTTATATTATATTCAACCCCATATTACAGAATAATGACGACATATTAAAATCCCTATATAGATGCATATAAAAATAGCCATTTTCTTATTTGGATGTGGTAGATAACATTTCTTTTATTTGTTTGACGATTTCGGGACAATAATAATAGTTAATATTATAACCAACTGAAGTGTTTTATTCACTCATACCCTGAGGGAGGGAGGATTTTAAAAAAAATAATAAAAATAGCAAAATGTAAGTTAGTAAATACCTTGGTATGTTTGTATATAGATAGTTAATACACTAATACCATTGCAGATTATAAATTAAATTTTTATAATCAATGGTAATACACTAATACTCAGGGATTACCTAAAGCCGGATTCAGAGCTATTGCGTCTTTCGTGCCGTATCGTGTTGTGTCCAAAATGTGTGCTCGGCCAAAGCCAATCTCTGTAAATTGTGTGGTAGATCATCATGGCTAGTGATTGATATTAATTTATACCTGTATAATGATTATCACGGCCAATCATATTACGATAAAAGCCACATGACACGACAGACAACGTTAAAATGAACCCTGCTATATTGGTACCTACTTACAAATAAATAATTTTTCTAATACACGAGTGACATGACTATTATTTTGAAATAAAAAACATATTGTTCATTGGGTACTTTCCTAACTAAGAATTATTTAATGAATTGACAAAAAAATTTTAATTTAATCATTTTTGGAGGGCACCTAAATACCTAATAGGATTCTAGCGGTCCCAGGATAATATTCAGTTACACAGTAACACAACTATATTTATAAAATATAAGTTCCCATTTACACATCACATTTCTACTAGCAGAAAAAACAACTAGGTAGGAGGTATCTACCGGTTAATTAGTTAAATTAATTTAGCTCCACGAACGAATCTACATTTCGTCAATTTTTGAAGTTTGCCATCTCTTGAGCGTTGTATATTTTTCATTTTTATCAGGTCTCTTAATGGTAACTAGTTATATAATAGGTAACTATTATATACGCCAGTGCGCGTCACCAACATGGCAACATTGAACATTGAATATTCTGTTAGACGTTAGTTCAACTAACTTAGCTGTTACCTGGATATTGAGTGGGTAAGTGGTAAGTACCTAGTACTGAGTACTATACAAGGTGTAAACAGATAGATTTGAGTACCTAACAAAAAAAAAAAAATGATGCTACTTTAACGCAGGACGAATTTTTTTTAACATTATATGAATAATAAATAATATAAGAAATATACTCATGTCAGCAAATTTCCTATATTTTGAAAAAAGTTTTTACGTTCCAAATGAATTTGATCAAAAAAAAATTGATATTTAAAAATATTTTAAAAAATAAGCTACTCGACTTAGATAAATGTTTTACCATCAAAATTGTTCTTATAATCAGATTTACAAATTGGCTATTTTTAACTTATCCAAAACAATTTAATTAAATTTTAAATTTTTTATATTCAGTATTAAAAAATAAAAATAATTTTTTTATATTAAACATGTAGCGCAAGTGACTGTAAATTATGTATAAAAAAAAAATTCAAAATATTGATTATAGCAAAAGTTATTGCATTAGTCAGTTATTTCTGTTACACCGTGTATAGGTAGGTGGTAAATGGTAATGTGCCATGTGGTATACCGTCAACGGAATTCGGCAATAATTGCCGAGTCGTGAACGCGCCTTGAAAACTACACTTGAAAATGGTATTGAGATTGAGATTGGCGTACTCATGATAGAAATAACTTATTATTACTTTTCTATCTTGGGTGTACTGATATCATTACACCTTGGTTTATGGTTACAATTTTGCTCATATCTAATTAATTTATTATCAGTGGTAGAGAGGTACTTATCACGGCTGAAATATTAAATTTGATAGGTACATACACTTGTAAAGTTACAACTTGTAGAGTTGCTCATATTTTACTATTTTACTAATTAATAATTTACGCATGATGTTGAATGTATAGAGAATAGAAGCTGAGTTCCTACTGGCCACGACTCGGAGCTATGTTCACTCCTCTAAGATCAATAAACAAAAACAATTCTTTATAGATTTTTGATCTCCACCACCAATTTGTTCGATGAACCGTCGGCTTAAGAATGCCCTGTGCGCCGCGTCCGCGGGAGTCTGTGGGTCATCAGCCGGCTTGTTCGGCAAGATTGGAATGAGTGTCAACGAGTTCTTCGGCTTGAACAATCAGGTAAAATTGATAATATTAAATCTTACAGATCATATTATTCAATAATTATATTAAACATCTATAATTTTATGATCCAAAAGTAAAACACACAACAAATCTACACCTAAAGAATCAATGACAATAGTAACGACATTGAAAGTGCAGGTCCTGATCTGTTAATTTTTGTTTTCATCTCATAGGCTCTGTATGCGAATTTGGCCAGATTTGTCATGTTGGCAATGGTCGTGCTAGCCAACGTCGGTGTTTGGCTAATGTATACCAGATCCCTGAGATTCGGTTCCACGTTGGTATCCACTGGCATCAGCATAGCGTCCAATTACATTTTTACCGTGAGTAACAAGGAACTAGCTACTTGCACTGTTTCATGGCTTCCCCATTTGTATTTAACGTCCTAATACTTCTATTAAACTTATGCAATAGCCATTCAAAGTTTTCATCAATTTATTTTTCGGTTTTTATTTTGATAGGCCAAACTAAATGTTTGACCTACATATTATAACTTTTCAAAACTATTTTATGTTTTTGAAATTATAAAAACTTGTAATTAATAACTAAATTGTTTTAATTATTCCATTTGAAATAAAAATGATTTGTTCTTACCATTGTTACCATCTAGGTTACCATTAACATAAATATATGATTTGTTAGAGTAACTATTAAAAAAAATCTTTTGTCATTTCTTAAAGCAAAAACATAAAAATGTATAACAATAATAGATATTTACGGGCAAAAAAAATAAACTAAGTCAAGTGCTGCTAACAGATGTCTCCTTAACAAGTTATCTACTTACTGTGTAGTGTGTATTATATTATGTGATACACGTCAAACTTTTAATTACCTATTGCCCTTCATAATTGTTTTCTTATACTTGCCAACTTCTTCTTGAGTATTATAATACTCAAAAATTGTCGAGGGTATTTTATTTATTCATTTATATCTAGGGAATTTTCCATGCCAGAAACTCTTATAAAAATCTGAGTATTATGATAGGCTTTTAGAACTACTGAGTACATTATGATACTCAAGGTGTTTATAAGATCAGTGACATTGGTAGGGAAGTCAACTTGTTAAGTACCTAACATCGTAACTCCTTGTCTATAGTCTCTACAATATTATTTACTCATAAAGTTGTTGTGAATTTAATTTTATAGATTGTTCAAGTCAAATAAAATTAATAATATATTTCTCTTGAAGCAAATTCTTTAGATAAGTGAAAACTTATGTGAAAAAGTTAGGTGTCATATTTAGAGTCCTCGGGTATAATTATCCACTATAAGATGCTCTTTAGTGTATACTTTACATATAATATTATCTTTTGTCGACTTTTGAAACATAAACAATTCAAACCATGTTTTAATTTAATACTTTTTTCTCATTATTGTAAATGCCCTTTTCTATAATATTATTGTTTTTTTATCACTCGAATCCAGTATTTAATAAATTAATAATAAATAATGAGTCGGTTAAAAATGTTTGTTATTTACCTTAATAACCTACTTATTTCTATGTTAGCTATTAAAAACTATTCAAATTAAAATTTAGATTTGATGCCCTTAATTTATAACATTGTATATATTTCAGGCTCTAACTGGTGTATTATTGTTTGCTGAGAGCTGTTCAATTCTGTGGGCGTGCGGCACACTTTCTGTCATGATTGGAGTTATACTAATGTCGATTTGAGTGTTTTATAAATAAAAGTATTAACTGATCTCATGTACATAAAATTGTTACTATTTAAATAAATAAGCATGCTTAGAAAAAAAAAACACCAACATATTTTATTATTACTACTCCAACAAATGTGCTTATAATAATTATATTTTCTCCATGTTTGATGATACAATAGAATAATTATTTAAAAAATGGTTTGACCTATTATGATTTGATTAATAAAATTGACATCTGTGTATAATCCACCAGTAGTCATGTGACAATCCGGTCATAAAGATAAATCAGACTCGTGTGTTATTTTAAAACAATTTTAGGTAAAAATGTAATATTGCAGGAATGAGAAACTACACATTTTTATACTTATATCAAAAGCAATTGTATTCCTATCAATTTGTTGAAATAACATATACATGTAACACATTTGAAACTTGAAATTCAGTGTCAAACAATCCAAAAAAAAAAAAATACTAATGCATTGAAATCTGAGCACTAATTATAACACGGTATTTTATATTATTTAACTTATGGACAAGCTGTCAAGTATAAAACCATAAATAAATACAACTTATACAACTTGTTAAAAATAAGAACATTCTATCAATTAACTCATTCATTCTTAATTACTATTTTGAGTTCTCACTATTCAAATGTTTTTTAGATTGCTGTTTAAACTTACAGATGTTGAATACTGTTGGTATCAATATATACCTACATTAAGATGCATTTAATCTATTTAAACTAATTTAGCTGATTTCTTGACAATCAGTTTTTATGATTTTAAACAAAAAAATATTGTTAAATAGAAGTTTGAAGTACTTTCAATGCTAAATTTTTGGAAACAATTCAAGTTAAATTCAATAGTTTACTTTACTATGTTTTTTGTGCTTAACTATACTGATATACTATCTTACTTCACATAAGATTGGTTTAATGATATTATTTTTTATAAGCACTTTGATCATTTTAAATACATAATAAAGAAAAGACTATGTATAGTATTTATAAGAGGAAAATATTTACACTGAAGTATGCAATGCTACAGTTCTTAGAGTTGTCGGATATAAAAAAGTATAAAATAGTTTCCAAAAGTAGAAAAAAAAAATATGCACAGCAGTTAATTATAAGTTATAACGATATGTAAAACCACAATTAGTTTAATTATTGCACTAAAGAATACACATCAAGTGAACTAATATCATGAGAATGTATGATAAAATGATACATTAATTTGGATTGTATAGGATAAATAAAACAAAGTTTTTTATTTGCTAAAAAAATACTGTTATATTTTATGTTGTGAACTGGCACAAGACTCAAGTATTATAAAAAAATAACTGGCTAAATATTGTTGCCACATCACAGTCTCTTTGGAACAGATAGCAGTTATAAAAATTAATTAGCACTCCAATATATTATATAAAGTAACAATAATTATATTATAACATATCGGCGGACTATCTAATGATATATACTTTATCTTTCAAAAATTTTAAATGATTACAATACAAGCGAAAAATTAAACAACATAATTGTATGTAAATATAAATAATAAATTGTAATAATATATAATTGGACGGATACAATTAAATATAATTTTTTTAAAAATGATATCCAATATTTCTTAAACATATACGATAATCATAGTTATATTTTTATCATTTTTATTTTGCTTTTTAAAAAAAATTAACTGTTTATATACACAACAAATTATATATAATATAACACACATATAATTGATATTATTTGTTGGAAATATGTAGTGACAACAACAACAATAATTGAGATAAACATGTCTATTGAAAGACGCTGGTCTCCAACTTCACCAATCAATAGTATTAGGAACATTGTGTGTATGTGTGAATATCTGTTATTATAATCAAATTATAACAATATTTCATAAATTTTGTTTGACTTCCAACAGTTCGGGATGGTTTTCGACAATGTTTAACAGAATATTATCGATGTAAGCCCGCAACTGATCGTTCACCTCCTGTTGATCTTTCAAGGCAGTTTTCATCTGAAAGCGATTAAAACATCAACAATATAACCTATATTTATTATTACATTATGTAAATAAGAAAATAAAAATGAACATCGTGCAGCCAAGATAGTTACTATTGTTACCATTTAATATTTAAATGAATTAAGCATCTTCAGGTGACATAAATTAAGAAAACGTTTGAATAAACAATAAAATAAAATATTAGTCTACAACAAAAAGTTTAAAATTAAATTAAAATAAAGTTGTACAGTAATAAAATTGTTTTCGATTTATTACCCATTATGATTAAAATGTATTTTATAAGGTTTTATAGTATAGATATACTAATGAATAATGCATTTTACTTGCTCAATAATTATTAATTATTTTTGATATTTATGAATTTGTATGGAAGTTATCAATTAACATTCTGATAGTAATAAACTAATAAGAAATGACGGGACATAGGGACTACATTGTGGTAAATGTAGTATTATATATACCAGGTTAAAATATATTAAACACGAGTGAAAATTGTTTTTTGTTTTTATACATTAATATATAAAAATAATTGAATCTTTTCACAAATAAAACAATATATAATATATATTATATTGATTTGTAACGGAACAATTAAATTATATAAAAATTCACAACCAATAAAAACATTAAACACCCACTAAAGAGTGAAAACAGCAAAAATAACAATTTATTACTTTTATTGTCAAACAAAATAAAATAATAGGTACCTAATCAAAAAATCATAAATTGTTATTTGTCAATTTTAGTATGCATGCAACAAAGCACACACAAATTGTAATAAAATGTCAAGTGTGTTATTAGTTCCATGCAAAAGGGTTAAATAATTATATTTTTTTGCTAATTCTTATCGCTTTTGAGTGTATACGTCGATTGACATTCCAATAAATTTAAGTCAACACAATACAATTAATACTGTGATCATTCAGGCTACTCGACGACACGGCAAAATAAATGTAGGAAGGCACCATGACAATATTATTATTGTTTGTGTTCCCACATAGCTACGGCTCTACTCGACGACGCGACGACGACACCAATGACATTGAGAGTTAACGACCGCGACTCGATTGAATCGTTTTCAACTGCTATTGTTAAACTCTCGGAATACGTACAAGATCATGATATCTATCAATCAATATTAGCCGAATCCATTTTCGATTTCATAAATGAAATGTTGAGGTATAATTACCGGGTGCGGTTAGAAAAAAAAATTAAGAAAAAAAGCCAAACACTGTTAATTTGATTTAAAAGAAAAACATATTTTAGTAACCAAACTGAAATTACCTTGTTTATTTGCAAAGACGAAGGACTGTGCTGTGAAAAGGAGCAAAAAAAAACAATTATATATAAGTACTTCAAGTGTGTTGTTATACATCAACATTCTACAAATTATTTATAAAGTGTAATGGTGTATCATATATTATATTATCATTTGCATTTTGTACGCGTGTGATATTATTTGCTCATATTATTGCTCTATTATGTGTACTATTTCTACTTACATATGACAAATTTTATTGACATAATTCGGGTTAGATGTGTTATTCCGGTATTGTTTATGTCTTTTCTGACGGTTTAAAAAATATTATTTGTAAGCACGGGTTCGCGAGATTATTAGATATTTAGACGAACGACACGTTAAAAAAAATTATTCCAAATATGAGTAACCATTAGTCGTATATAACACCGCACTTACGTCATCGTGAGTCAATCCGTCGAGTTCGGATGCGAGGCTGGGTGACTCTGTCAACAACAGCCTACCTCTCTCGATGCCTTTGGCTATGGAGGAAGCTTGTAGTTCGTCGTAGGAGTCTTTCAGTGCTGCCGAAAAAAAAAACAAAAATAGATACAATTAACACTCACTCTAACTGTTATAAGGTATTTGTTAGGTTAGGGTACGATTAGAAAATCACCATGACTAGGATACTACATAATATAATATTTACAGGAGTGGTTTTCCACATTTTTCAAACATGACCAACTCCACAAAATTGAATAGCACATGTCTCAACAATAAACAATTTTTTCTTCAACGTAAACCTCTTTTTCTTTCTTTCATTAAAGTTTTTAGAACAAAGTAGATAAATAGAATTGTAGGTAATTGATCATATAATAATATTAAGTAATTTATATTTATTAAAAAAAATTCAAAAGCTCCCGGCACATCAATTGAAAACCACTACTTTTTAGATTACACTTACATCGATTCTGATGTTTTAGCGACTCCAGCTGGGCTGTAAGCTCAGTAACGTACGGTGAAGGCGAATTTAGTTTGGCAATCATGGCTTCTTTTTCAAGTCGAGATATTTCCAACTCTTTGGTCAGACCATCGATGATCTATAAATATATATAAGGCATACGTGTAATATAAGCAGCACAGTCGGGCAACGTACAATGTGCATTAAGGGAAATCAATACAAAGTGTCGTTGTAATTGTTGTTTTAATTATTATAAGCAGAGGTGGCAGTATAATTTTTTATATACTGACCTCTTCGTTGTCCCTTTCTCTCTGTTTCAACTTCCTAAGTTCAGCCTCCAGCAGACGTATTTCATCTTTGAACGACTGAGCACCCACGTTGAGATCACTCACACGTTGTTCCAACGAAATCTTTTCGGTTCGCATCGCCTCTAACGCAGACTTGCACTTTTCTGCCTCCAATCGTAAATTCTCGTTAGCCGACTCAATACTTTGAAGTCTACAAATATAAATAAAAAATAATGGAAATTTATAACTATTAAGTCTTGTGCGTATAATACTGAAAAAAAGTATAAAAAAAATATCCACGCCTACCATTAAATAATATTTTATAATATAAGATTAATAACTAAATTTTATACGAAAAATAGCATGTTACTTACACAGCGTAAATTACAATTTAAAAAAAAAAAATAAAGGTTTAAAAATGTTTCGTTTACACTCCCTTTACCATTTGCTTATTATATTATGTTAACGAAACAAACCGTTCTTTCCTATCATTAAAAAAAGAAATATCATTGATATTAAATTACAACGCTTATAAATGAAAATTTAATGTCACGTCTTTTTATACAACGGTGTTTGCTTACTACTGCAAAGGGTCATCAATTCATTTTTATTCGTTCATACTGTTACAATTTACAATATAATTATTTTAAAAGTATCATACTTGCAGTTATTAAGATTAAATTATATCATGTACAATAATTATACACTATACAGATTACATAATATATTTAATATAGTATGTGTGAATATAATTTGAACTGAATTAGTTACTGTTATACATCAATCAAAAATAACTAATAACTTTTATAGGAATTGTGATTTTTATAATATGACAATATATTACCTATTATGGTAAATCATTACTATTAATTGATTTTATGAAATGTGACATTAAATAATATCTTTAGACTTTAGTTACATAACTAACACAATACTACTTTTTGAAACGCTGGGTGGATACTAATGATACTACGACACGACAAGGAAAATATGTAAATTCGATGACTCCAATATATCATAGTATAACATAAATATAATATTTAACTCCATATAAGTACCTATAGCTAATGACATATCATTTATTGTATTTACCTTATGGCACAATTATCGATATGCAATTGTTTTTCCCTATCAACTCGGGTGACGAGCTCTCTGTGTCTGCGTTCTTCGGACGCAAGCCGCTCCTCGCACCTGAGTTCGGTGTCACGGAGTTGCTCTTCGAGCATGTGGACGCGGGCTTGGAGCGCGGCGTTCTCCTCCTTGGTACGCGCGTACCTTTCGTCCGTCAGGTGCTGATTGTCGGTCAGGGAATTCATCTGTTTTTGCAACACTTGTACCTACATATACACATACAAACACATTATAATTTATACGACACCGGTTAGTGTAATTGTTGTAGTAATTATTTTGAAAATACAACACGCGAGTACTTTTAATATATTGTATAGATAAAACAAAGGCGCATAGGTGTGACAATATACATATATTATAGATTATATTAAATACCCATAATATATACACAAACATTGCACGCGAGTGATTATTATAAGTGTAGGTATAGAAAAAAAAATTTTTAAATAGTCATAAACGAACGATGCGATGAAATTACTTTTTGCACGCCAAAAACATGCGAGTTTCGTGAAATTTTAGGCAATTTCAACACGTCGACTCCGGTGGGGCCCGCGTCATAGGCGTTGCCCACAAATTCGAACTGTCCGTCCCACATGTCGAACTCAAGATCAGAGCAGCAGTTTTCTAAAATGTCAGCCTTGTTCTTCTTGGACGACGACGACGACGACATGACAAACAACATAACTTCTTAAGAAAGTAACTATGCGAACGTAAGTATGAGACTACGGAGTGTAACAACTGCGGACGGCCTTTTGGCCGATTTTTAGAATAGAAGCCATTTCGCTTATCTGAATAATGAATATTGATAACGACAGCATCAATTAACTATATTATTGAACGCGAGTGTGTATGTATGTGTGTGGTGTGTGAACTATTGGAGCGTTCGTCGAGATATGACGTGTTTTTTTACTGAACTTTGATCACACTGCGTCGAGAGAATATGATGTGCACTCTAATAATAATATCAACGATGAATATTTTGGCATGGCGACAAAAATTTTTTTCCCTAAAAGTCGACTATGATTTCTTGCATCGCATATTTTAAGTAGCTGCCCAAGCCAAGCGGCGTATATGCGCTTCAATGGACGGAATAATAATAACAATTATAATAAGACCGTAGTAAATAGACGATAAAAGTATGCTTGTACTACACGCAGGCAGCGGTGTTATTGTCGTTGATATATATTTCGACACATTTGCCCAACAATATAGCGAAAAAAAACGGGAGCGTACGCGAAAATGTTACCTCACCGACGACTACTATTATACATTATGTACGACAACACACTGACGACACACTCACATACACAGACAGATAATAATATCGAGACATGCGCGCAGACGGAACGATATTATTAAAAAAAACCTAATATATTAACTCTGTATTGTTATATATATTTATAGTATGTAGTATACTACTCTAGTACTCTACTATAACATTATGTACAATTATTCGTTCGTTAAACGATGATGACGACGATGGGCTTTTATCATCTGCCACCACCATGTTGGTCCCCTACCCAATTTACACGTGTGGTTGCTCTATACTTATACACAACTTGAAAACATCCTATCGCAAACTGTTGTCACTCATCGAATGCACCACTAATCACTTTATATTATTGCAACAGTATATACAAGCTACAACTACAAAAATTATTAGTGGGTGCATAACATGCGTGTACACACTACACGACAACACACATCCATTTAGGAGATATTTGCAACCAATAACAGCTCAACGATTAGTCGCGAGGACGATGCTGAACAACCAAACATACGGCGACATGAACGATAGGCGAGAACGCGTGATATACATAGCCACTCCAAAGATAAAAGTGAGATTAAAGAAGATGAAATATTAAATGTATTATCATTCTACGAAATGTTAAATCAATAATTATTGAAAACCAGTCAACAGTCGTGATCACCAAAATATCGTATTCCCAATATATAACTAACCTACACAATACATATTATAAAAATAAATATTTTTTATTTGTTTTAAAAATTTAAACTTTTATTTTAATTTTGTAGTTTAATTATTATTTATGGCCTGTTAAAAAAATCAATTCCCACATTTTCTAAATTAAGAAATATATAATACACGTTATACCTAATAATTATTTTTACTGCTTTTAGGTAAACCTTTATAACAGCACTTAAATTATAGCTAAATATTAAATTTAAATAAGTAATAATAATAGACCGATGAAAAAAAAGGGGGCAGAATAATTTTCATTCCTATAAATAAGAAATTGGTTCCCGATATACGGAGTTATAAGTCGTATCGATCGTATCGATATCTTATTGGGCCCGCAAAACAATTAGTACAGGGGTCCAACATTTGTTGGATAGTTTATAGGCTATAGATTACCAGGGAACCTACTCGTAAGTGCCCATATAAATACATAGGTATATCTAATGGGCATGGGCATAGGTAAGGGGGGGTTTTGGGTGTTCAAACACCCCCCGAAATTAAATAAAACAATCTTGAGCTTTTTGTGAATTTATTCGAGAATATTATTAACTCGCATATTATTTAGGATTTAGACAAAAACCCCCTCCGAAAATATTTCCTACCTGGGCCTATGCTAATGGGTATTGGGTACAACATAGTAAATACAAATAGATCCAACTTGAGATTGAATCAAAAATACATTTTAGATAACTAACACTTATATTTAAACTAATAAGCATTTTTCTTTAATCAGACTCGGGTATACAAACCAATAATTGAGCAACATCATTGCAATATTGAATTTAAATGTTTTATTGATTCTCAACTGAATTGCTATTACTATTGCTTGATCCCGTAACACGCAGTAGTCAAACTTATTCACCTTGCAAATCGGTTATATTTTTAGTAGAATTTAAAAAAAACTCGAATTGGCAATTACCGTTGATGTAGCTATCGAATACTCAGAACACGTGAATAACATTGTAGGTAGGAAATATTCTACGACGCGTGTCTATAAAAACAAAAATTGAGCACACACATTTCTTGTGGACGGCGAAGGAAATCATTTACACAGCAGCAGCGAGCATAGGAATGCTGTTTAATGGTCGTGACTCGTGATGGGACTTATCATGTATAAAATACGAATGTAGAAATAATGATACGTCTTGGTCGCGGCGGTGGGGTATAATAATAATGATTACACGATGGCAGCTACATTATGATCTTACCTTATTGTTGAGGTCGTGAACGTCTTCTTCGATGGACGTATCGGAATACACATCGTCTGGAGTATCGCAAATGGAACTGCGACCGGACGAATTGAAACTTGAGCTCCGATATAGATCACTGAAACACAAAATCAACAATGGTATTATTATCTAATAATGTGTAGAAAACTAGAAACGACGATGACAATAATAATAAAAAATAACAATAATAAACACCATTAAATATTATTTTTACCTGGCGAGTGCGTTTGAACTGATCCTTTTGCTCGATCTGTGTAAAACAAATCGCAAACGTGTTATCATTTAATAATTATACTCAAATATTACAGAACAATAATGATAAGAAGAAGAAAAATTTAAAAGTAAAAGTGCTCTGTAAACTCCGCTAAATATGCAATTTTAAAATACCATAACGCGTTTTTCCCCGAAATATCTATTCATTAAGATAATAATAATAGCTGTGGCAGCATCAACGGCGATGGCTATTCTGCAGGTATGGAAAGCTACTTTCTACATACATTTACTTACTATAAGCACCGTTTTTAACACTACACACGCACTGCGGGTCAATTAATTATCATCATAACGAGCGTTATCAAATTTTAAGACAAAAAAAAGAAATGCATTCCTTCTATACGAACGGTTTTACTCAGATTATGATCGGCAATTGTTGCGGATATGCTCCCATTAACTACACGTACATATGTATGTTTTCATGTAGTTTTATTTCACCTTAATTGCAATTTTTCTACGAAACTATGTGAGCTTTTCGAAAGACTATACCCAAAGATTAAGTGAATTAATTAATTATTCTAAAACAACGCAGATATATTATTTAATATTTTAAAATGATTATCACTCCGTTTAATATAAATGATAATGTAATAATTGTGTATCAAAACAAGACTATAAAATAATATCTAATAAGCAATAAGTAAGAGATTAACTAATTAGTAATTAGTGATAAACATAATTGAGTGTAATCTTTTTATCAATTATTTCTCAATATTGTTGCAGACTAATTCGACATAATCGTTTTTAAAAGAATATGACAAACATATATTCTTTCAGATCCAACATTTAAATGGTGTAACTCCTATCTACCAATACGCAATAGCAATCTAAATGTATATATGCTTCCAAGGACAATGTGTTAAACATAAATTTATAATTTCTTTTTTTTACTAGCTTCTTCCACTCTTGAACAGAAATATAGACAGTGAAACTAAACAAAAAGAAAAACAGAGGTTTTCACTGCACTCGTACGCGATGATAATTACATTTTCCTAGTACTCGGGAAATCATTCTTAAAAAATCATCGAAAAGAGGTCGTTGTCCGTAAGGTAAGTATACAAATACGTACAGGCTTATACACCCAACAATTCATTACATAGGTACTCGTATGATCTGTATTTAGAACAAACGGATGAGCTATCAGTGCAATATAATTATATTGATTTTGAATTAAAAATTATAGAGCTATAAATCTATATTCCAAAAAATAATAGCATGTATAAGATTTTAAGGATGTTTCTATTGTCACAAGGCAGGCTTCTTTAGGATACCGTTATTATATACTATTATAATATACCCTATTTAGTTATATCTTATATATAATCTTACTCCTATAGTCCTATTTCTAGCACATTTGTCACAAAATTTCTTGACCATGACTAAACTATTACGACTACGATGACGCTCATCGTGGGATGATTTCTCAATTTTTCGCAATTGTGAACCGGAATAAATTTATGTGAACGCGGAAAACACGGTAGTCAATATTCGACAGTAAAATTCGCCATATGGAACGACGACAATGACTACTAAAAACCTATAATAATAGTATATTAATGTGACAGACGACCATTATTTTCAGACTTTTAAATCAATACCAAAAATAAACTGCAGGTTTGTTAGACGTATAAAATATATAGATGATAATAATTACCGTTATGAAACAAAGGAAAACGAAGTAAGTATACATATGATAGGCGATAGCCATTACATACCTTCTCCACGAAGACCGATTATATTCCTGTTTCATGCCTCGTCTATTCTATTATACACTACACTACACCAGTAAAGCATTGGCCATGAGTTCATAACATTTTGACGAAAATAATAAATATATTATATTATAATAGGCACATAGACAATATTTACTCGCACACTCGATAAAGACGCGCTTTTATCTCGGGCGACACACGACCGCTCGCCGGAGAAAAGTGATCAAACTCGTAGCCCGTAGGCCGTCGCACAGTGCACACTCGCACTATAACGTAGGTGAAATCACACACACAATAAAATCGTACTATATATTATTATAAACACAAGTCACGTGTATGTGTGTGTACGCGCTCGCCGAGAAGGGGTGTTGTGTACGTTAACGGTGTATATATTGTATGCCGAACACGCAGTGGTGTGGTGTGCGTATAGGTAATAATATATTTTACGCTTATACCACGTAGTTGGTTACTACGGCTACCACTACCGGTCTCACAAGGCGGGTTATATTATATACAGTGGATAAGAACAGAGAACGGCCCCTCAACATTCCTTCCTATCGTCGCGTTTCGCCTTTCATTTTTTTTCAATGCACCACTGGGTCATACTCATAAAGTCATAACGCTCGCCGGATAATGTTATTATTATTATTATTTTACTAAGCACACTCGAACCGGACGATGGCGGCCTACACATGCGCGTAACCGCGAAAAAAATCAAATTGTATTAAACAGCTGGTATACCATATATTAAATACCAGCCTACCTGCCTTATATATATATCATATTATATTCTAATATAGAGAGAGAATTCCAGTCACGGTGTACAACAGACTCGGATTCGTTGAACTCAAGGACACGTAGGTATTTGGCGTAAACCACTCCGACAGTGCAAAACATATCTAGCCGAGAAAATTGTGAGGAAAAAACAAACAGCTTTATGTACCTCCACGAATTTCGACCATACAACGGAATATCTATACACCGTGTACATACAATCATAATAGGTTGCCTATTATTCACTATATGAACAGTTCACGTGAAAAGATTAAAAAAATAGTATTGCGTAATTCCAATTTTCGTTTTTTACAACATAGCTACCTAATATAATAATCGTTTGGAACATGACAAAACGTTTGTGCTGCATGTAAAGAATTGTTTTCCTACCTGCGAAAATGTCAACAATCGACGAGCCCGCAAAACTACGTTTACTTTCGCCAAGTACGCCCACAAACGCAGCCGATCCAGGTTGGGTGTATATTTATATACATAAATAGTAAAAAATATCACCCTCCTTCGCACGAGAAACAAGCGAATTTCAACAAAAATCTCGTCGACTATACAATGCAAGCAGGTAGTAGATACAAACTCTATAATTCTATATGTTTGAATACACGATAGTTACTTGAGTGCTTCGAAGATTGTATATACATAGTAGGTACAATATATTATTATGTAGCATAGTAGTAATAGTAAAGGCCGGTAGTGAACGGTGTACCTAATACTTATAGTTATATATAAATCTCTATAAATCATATAATGTATTATCATTATGTATACGACTATATGAGCAAGATAACTGTAAATGGGGGGTAATTATATGTGTATAATTTGTGCATGATGTACATATTATACTATATATTAACTCGCGATTTTATCACAAGAGTATAAAAAGTATGTAACATCGCCCCCGCGAATCGTGCGCCGATGTGCACACGTTGAAGAAGCGCGTAATAACATCATTGTATCTGGAAAACTATAATATGGTCTAGAGAGTAAATTATTACGTAATACACGTAGATGGTAAATATTAATCACTAGTATTGTTTCGGATCTTTTGTGTCTGGTATGGGAATGTAACTATGACGACAGCGGTATACACACACACGCACACTAACCGAAAAACGTTTGTTCGATCACGTGTTTTAAAAAGGAGGACGGTGCATGGAACTAATTTCAAAACTAAAAAATATATTTGTTATATTTTTGAAAAGCGTTTTACATATTTAATAGCACATTATACGGAAGTATGCTTATGCGCCAAAAACGTTTTACCAGTGTGTATATTAGTTTGCAATGTTATCGTCAAAAAAGGAGTAAAACAAACATGTAACCATCCTTATTTGTATTTAAGACAAAACTGAACATTGAACCGCTAAAACCTAATTTATACTCGACTCTCGTGAGTTAGGGACTAAATAATAGTCGAAACCGATAATTTCAAAAACCACCAATCAAACACAAATGACTGACGGTTTTCCAAAAATTATTAATATAATAGGTATAAGATACACAATATAATAATCGAATTAGGAGTGTCGAGGATAGAAATCAAAGAACCCGCACGGACTATAATACGTGTACAACCGGGAATAATATTAAAATATTAAATAATATAAGCGAAGCCAACTCCGCACAAATCATATTATAATAAGTAATCACCTATTTCAGGTGCCACGATTTCGAATACACCATAGAGTTAAATATATATTTAGACAATAGTTCTTTTGTGTCAAACGACAAACCCACATACGATTATACAAATACTCTATACAGTACCGAATAAGGACCCACTGATGGAATTTCGACGTAGAGGTCATCCTACTCAGTACTCGTACTAGTTACTACTATGTAAATAAATACACCAAGCTCACCTTTCTCTCACGTAATTAGTAATTTGTACCTATTTTCAGCCGGGATCAAAATTGTTTTTAATAAGTATTAAACTAATTCAATTTGATGATCTCTAAATAGACAAATTATTGAATAGAAATGCATGGCGTCTCGTTTTATAAACCATTTTAAATACGAAGAAAAATGTTAAAAGAAAAAATACCGCAGTAATCATATTATTAGGTTTGTACCTAACACAAAAATATATAATACAATAAAATGATATTTGTTGGCACGATTTTTTTTCAAAACTCACAAAATTTAAGTACACAGTCACGAAACGTCTCAGTCTGTCAAAATTAAAGTTTTTACCGATTTTAATCATTAAAAGTTTCAGTGCGTGCGTAAGTGATTAACTGCCTACACGGTCGATAGAGTATATATCGTATATTATAAAATAAGTTTAAAAGCAATATTAAGTACTTACGAATGTCTCATCGATCCCCATTTACGGTTTGGCAGTATTTCAGAGCTAAAATGTATTTTTAAAAGAGGCGATTAACATGGGATAATATAATATTATGTAAATTGTACACGTGACGTAAACAAGCCACATTAATTTATTATACCTGTGCCCGTTTGTAGTCCTTCTCAAACTTGTCCTGAGCCACGTATTCCTCTTTAGGCCCAAAGGGTTGGTGATTGGGTTTTCGACGACGCTGAAACGAAAAAAAAAATCATAATTATTAACGCTATGTTATAAGCAAATAATTTAAAATTGTGAAATATTTGTTATAAAGATTAAACAAACTTTGTGATCACGTTGTTGACAGGCGAAGAATTGTCCATGTCACCTTCACCGTAACATTCGTAACTCTCTTCGTCTGACATACTCGAAAACTGGCTGTACCAAAGAACAAAATTAAAATTAAAATGTCGTTTTCATACATTTCAGTATTTCACACAATTTAACACACCTGTTATTCGTAGAATTCGAATCCGTGTTTCCGCCGTGTATGGCTGTGTCCTCTATGTTGAGTTTGAACGCGGGAGAGTCACCTTTGTTATTGTTATTGACGATATTTTCATCTTCTTGTATTTTGGGCGCCATCATCCTAGCCAAAACCTACAAACACACATACAGACAACAAACAATGAAATACCATTATATTGACATTTATACAAATGTATTAAAAACCGATCGGAATTCGAAACAATGCATACGAATGGTCATCGTGATAACATAACATTAAATCATTAATTATTATATAAGTAATATAAGTAATAAATTATAATAACTTCGTCGAAACGTAATTAATGGGTGTAAATCATAATATAAGAGAATTCAAAATGTACATATTGTTTTCCAATACCCGCGATCGTACCATAGTCATGATGTTTTTGTGAGCAACCTTCACGATCGGTTCGCCTACGTCCCGCAAGATTATGCACAATTGTATGTACCTATAATATTTTATTATAATTTATTGAGCTATACAGTAAGACGCGTAAAATTAACTGAACTCGTTCGCGTAGGATAAATCGACACTCACTGAACACCCGGACGAACTCCCACACCCTTATATATACATGGATGCGGATAGGTGTGGTAGGGCTCCGATGAGGGGGTTGTACTTTTTTCTTCGGAAAGGTGATAGGCACGTGTCCCGGCGGACAGATGTAGGTAGGTACCTATATATAGAAGTATACCCGTCAATAAAGCGGAACATGCTGTATTGTGTGTTGCCGCACACGTTTGTCGTTACTTATATATCATGTATTCATATATTTATATTATTATATTATACCTATACGAATACGGCGAAGTTTAGGCCAAAAAAACAAGAGGAAACTGCAGTGCCCTAAGTATATAATATACTCCCTCTTTTGCAGCTGCGTCGCTCAAGACGACGTGTGCGTTTAGATACGGCACGTTCCCCACTGCTGTTTCCGATCAGGAAACGAGTGTTGCGTATCGTGCAGAGGGTTGTTAGTCGCGTTTCCGTTTCTTTTGTTTTTTTCTGCGACCCATTTAGTCATAAAAACTCGAGACGTGGTAGTTTTAACTTATTAAAACTGTCACAGATACAGATAAAAACTGGAATATTTACGGACTGAGGCCAGGATTTATAAATTTGACATTTACATAAAATTCACAAGGAAAATTAACTATGCAAACAATTAAACAATTAAATTGATTAAACATTTATAATTGGGAAATTTTGTTTATAGAATAAGGATTTACGTGGACTTCAGAGTAACATAATAATATTAAAATTATTATTATTATGTTGTCTAGTCAGTAATAGGTATACTAAAACTAATTTACCAAAACACTACCTATACCTATAATAAACATACATCTTCACATTTCTCATTTTATAAGGATGTCAAAATTCAGTGTAGTACCTACCTAAAGGCATTGATTAAATATACATTAGATGAAATTTATATATAGGTACCATATATATTATTTTTTTTAAATATTTAGTATAATATATTGTATTTTACTGTCCTTTTTCTAACATGTGGAAAATAAGAAATAAAATTATTTTGACTTGTTGGATCAATCAATGAAAAATTAAAAGATTTTAAGGGTTATAAATTTATAATTTTTATAAACTAATAAATTGCAAAAACAAACATAAGGGAAGGACTTCGTACTTTCTTAAAAAAATGAATATTTTTTTAGCTAGAAACATGAACTTATAAAATAAAAAATCTAAAAAGCAATTTATGTATATTTTCTATAGTCTGTAGGTACCTACAATCTAAATACATACTTCAAAAAGTATAAAATATATTACAAATTGTGTATTTTGTATTCTTTATTATTATTTATTAGGTAGGCATGAGAGATTTTGAACTTACATAATCATATGATGTTTAATCACCAGCATAATGAAAATAATTGGTCATCCAGTAGAATAATTTGTTGTATTCAATTAATTGTTAATGATATATTGATTTGATTTGTATTATCAACTATATTTATAAAAAATTAAAAATTAAATTTTGATATTTTGTATCATATAAATGTAAATGATTATGTGGAGTGTATTTTTTTTGGAAAAGGACCTACTTATACTGAATAATACAAATTCGTCATTATTAATTATTATCTTGCTGTAATTTTTATAAAACGATACAATTATATTTTGACTTAAAAACAAAAAGCAAAAATAAGTTCCTATCTTTTTATTGCTAAAGAATATCATACTAAAAACTCAAATTTTACTACATAGTATAGATTAAAGATAGAAAACAATAACATTTTTAAGTACAATCCAAAAGTATAAAATGTATTTGTTCACAATATTTTCGTGAGTGATAAATATAATGAATTTATCCTGAAAAAATACATCCGCGTATAAAATATCCGCAAAAAGTGATTATTAGGTACTCATTAATGATATAAAAGCATTAATTATATCAATATCATTACATTACAAAAAAAGCAATATTATTATAACTTATAAGCTGCATACAAAATTATAGAATAATGCAGAAATATTAAATATCTATATAGTACGTCAAATCCAACTAGCATAATTTGTACAATGCGTTATTGTATGCGACGGAGACACTGGGTCATAAAATTGTGTTGTATGGAATTTGTTTATTATTATTTATTTTATTAGATAAAACTTTATAATATAAATACCAATATCAAAATGAAAATAAGGCCACCCCGCACATGAGATTACATAGTTCTATAACAATCGACTCAACTATTTTTGGATGACAACTAAGCATAACAACAAAACCAAGTTAAAATTTCATGAATAGGCGAATCGTACATAGTATTTCCGAATAATATGTAGTTTTAATTATTAACAAACAAAGAGTAGGCAAAACTACTATTATTTGTGGTATAATGAAAATATGAATATTATCAAAGCACATAATATATTATATCATATATATAAACGGACGACCTTATACAATATACATTACAGAGGCAACAACAGCAACTATAGTGACTATTCATAATACTTTTTTCAACGCATTTAACAAGGACAATTTGTATTATGCTATTGAGAACCTATTGATATATTTCTTGATCCATACACATGAATGTATACTTTTTTTTTTTTGAGGAAGGAAGTGGGGCGATTTAGATAGGTTCGTCAAAACAAAATGTGTGATTCGAGGAGAAAAAAATTCAGATAAAACGATTAAGTATTCCGGCCAGATGGCACTCGTATATCATATTATAGTATTATACTGTATGTCTGGCTTTAGTTACCAAGTGGTAGTGTGGACACGTTATTTATTACGGTTTCTAAAAGAATATTTGACATGGAAAACAAAATATGATGGTGTATAGCACTTAAATAAAACAGTCAAGATTATATTTTTAATACGGGGAGACAAGCACATTATGATGGGTCAAAACAATATTAAAAAGTCTCTGTATTGTCATGAACCATTAATCCCGTCATTTTTAAACTCGTTTTAATGCGATGAAGGTTTGTATATTTGTACACAGTGTAACTTTTTCAGTTTCAAAGTCTCGTCCTAGTAGCACAATTATTCTGTATAATAAACATTATTATTCTCTCTACCCGCAATGGCCATGGTTAACACGCTAAACCACCGTTAGCCTAAAAAACACACACAATATGAAGCAATTGGTGGTGGTAGTTGCTTCACTGAGATACGGTCTAACGAATATAAACCGTGTGGTTTTATTATAGGGCTATTTTATATGTATAATTAACGCACAAAATATCGGTGTCTATATAATATGTATGTAAAATGAGTGTTACCTCGAGTAAATATGTATTTGGGATTCATTGAAAAACACAATAATTATGTATACATGATATACAATCGTATGTGTGTGACATAGACGTTTTCATTATCATTAAAATATGCAAAGGCACATTGGAAGCAGTTACTTGGATTTAATTTAATAATTAGTATTATACTTTACTTTTTTAATTTAATTTTACTTTCTTCAAAATTGTTTCTGTAACCCGTAAAATGTATTGAAGTATATACAATATACATAAATATATTGTTATAAGCTTAAATTATTCGAGAAAACCAAATAAATGTACGATTCACAAGTTACAACACTGATATCTCGACGTGAAGTAATTTTTAATAAGGTTTATTTACCTAATCGAATTAGTCGAATTATTTGATTTAAAAATTCAATACGAGTGCATACATTTTGAACGCTGGTGGGTAATTAGTAAAACCTTGATATAATATAATTATCATGTGCAGTTTTATGAACAACCCGATATTATTCTGTAGTGTACTCATCATTTTCATTATTCGTTTGACAACAGCCAGATGTCGATGGTAATTTTTTATTTAGCATTAAGCAATAGAAAAAGTACCATATGGTCAAAATAAAACAATTATTAAAAAATAATAACTAAACTAATAAAGTAATAACACAATTATATGTACAACCTACGGAACATACAAATCCAATGGGTTTTAATGTCATAAAATGTAATATTTACCATAAAACCAAAACATCTATAGTTAACTTCACAATTATTAACAAATTTCAACGAGTATAGACTGCGATTTTAGGTTAAATCTTTTAGTTCTTATTATAAGATCAGTGATAGTTTGACAAAATTAATAAGGAACTCTAAATGTATTCCATAACACAAAACTCCCTCAGATTCATTGAACAATAGACAACTCGTTACACTTATCAATACCAAAGAAAATTATTAAAATAATGTGTTTACTGTTTCCATAATGAAGATGAAAACATCGGTAATATTACACTTCCTCGGTTTGCGAATTTATAAATATATTAACCGAACGTGTTTAATTGCGTACTATAATAATAGTCTATTTAGGAACTGGTCATGGTATTAAAAAAACTAAAGATGCATGTCAAATATGTATTACATAGTTTCCTCATTTTCAGGTTAACGCCGTCGAAGGTCGTTGAGATTGACTTGCATTTTTTTCGTCGTAATTTATATTATTATGTTGTTGAATATTATCATCAAGTCGTGTACTGTGTGTCTGTGTAGGTTTAGTTTCTTTTGTCGTTGTTAAATATGCAAAGTGAAAAAAACTAATTGAATATTGTTTGAAATAGGTACCTGGTACCTACACAGTTCCGCGTTGTAAGGGAATCACGGTATTTTTTCCCCGAAATAAACTTTTTAAATATTAAAAAGACACTAAGATATAATATTGATTGTAAATATTGTTATTCTTATTTGTTGACAGTGGTACATTATAACATTCCTTAATATTGAGTAGATCCTATTCCGTGCTTCATGCATTATGAATAATTCACAAATTGTTCTACTTTTTGTTTTTAATACGAGAATATTATGAGAAAAAACTTATGCATCAAGATAGTACATCAAATAATGAGGTCGGTACAATCTAAAATCTATTATATTTAAGAGTTGTGAAAAATTAATGTTAAATTGTTAAACTGCCGACTCTCCTACTTTTTTTGTTAGCTTTCAATCAAAAGTTGACTCTCCTACTTTATATTATTAATTTTGCATTAATACATTATACTGAAATATACAATAATAATAATAATAATGACATACAGTAATTCTCAATAAATAAATAGTCAAAAACATTTCATCAAAATTATACATCATTGTACATCCACATTGTTGGTATATTTTTCAACATAGAAATATGAGATTTTTCTTATACAATTTTTTACCAGTCTATTGTAAGTAGATTTAGAATTATTTTTATGCAAAGGAATACTATTATATGACACGTGTACCATATTTGAGCATTTATAGTTATAATTGTTCAATGAAAATCCATAGTAATTTACGGTACAATTGGTTTAAAATGAATTATCGATCACCCTTAGCAAAATACCAAGTTTAGTAGTAAAAAAAAAACTGTAAATACGTAGAAATGAATGTAAATTACAGATAAACAAAAAGATCTACACTACCTACCAAAATGAAACGTAAATATAAATAATACAATGTAATATAATGCTACAGCTGTTAACCTTGTGAGAATCTATTGGGGCAAAAAAACAAAATTATCTGTTTTGGTGGTTTCCTAGAAAATATTAGTAAGTTTTTTTTCACAGGTTTCCTTTTTTAATAGGATTAAAAGCGGTGTTTTTCTATGTTTATGAGACACATCATGTTTTATTTAAATTGGAATTTGGATGTTTTGTATTTCGTAACAATTAACCTAGTGAAGCAATAAGAACTCTAAAAACAGTTTTGAATTTGTCGTAAAGTTTTCTTGAGATCGATTTTCCCGCATTTATGATTTTTGGATTTAAATTGCATCTAAAACTTAACTTCAAATTGAAATATGATATTTTTTATACTTCTACTTTTTTAATACATTTTTTTTAGGATTTAAAGGGATAAAATTAAACATTTTGAGAAGTTTTTCCTAAGTAAACATAGTGAAATATTTTAGGTTTCAGTGTTCATATAGCATTACTAGATTCATCTGAATGTTAGAAATAAAACACACTAAATAACCGCTTCCTATATTTTCTTAACAACGCAAGACAAAGGATGAAAGTCAGGTTAACTGCAAAGTATATGTTTGCATATTTCAATTAGGAACTTAAAAATAATATTTTTTCTAACTACACACTTTCTAATGTTTGTTTTATAAATAAAATGTCCCTACATAAACTAAAACACATTATAAATTAATATTTTTGAAAATTAATTATTTTTAACATGAATTAATGTTATAATGTCATTCATATTATATTATATGATCATTTCACATTTTAATGGACTTAAATTAAATATACTTACATTTGTCATTCAAAGCGTTTTCAAATTTAAATAAATTGTAAAATGTTGAGAACAATTATTATTAAAAAATATTATTTCAATAGGTAATGATGGTTGTATGTTGACATTCTTTATTTATAAGCTAGTTGTTATCATTTAACGTTTTAAACAATGGGCAATACTATTTGTCACTAACTAGTTTAAGTAGCGTATAATAAAAAAAATGACATGCACAGGAATATAAAAACATTTATCAAATATTTTAGTACCTACAGACCTACAGTTGTCTGTTAGTATATCTACTTCAGTGTCAATACAATTTAGTATTATCGTTCACTGATTTTTAAACTTCACAACAAATTAAATATTCTTAGAAGAATCAAGCTAATAATAACTAATAATGACTTAAATATTACAGTATAAAAAAGTTGTCAATACCTAAGTATTTAATCATAAAAAAAAAAATGTTACTTCTTCTACTTAAAAATGTCTAGGTAAAAATAGTTTTTCTGTATTTCATGGATTAGGCACACATTTTTTGTTTTATTATTAATTTTTGGGTATTATAGGCTACATACAAATAGGTATTTATTAAATATGTATATTATCATATAAAAAAATAGCATTAATAAATAATAATTAAATTGAAATGCTCCTACCAGAACCGATGAATTGTAATCACCATTGTACTCCTTAGTCCTCACACCCATAAAAATTACTACAAATTAAATGTAAATTAAAAATGACAACTCATAAAATTGAACGTTTTGATGGTATAAAGGTAATTAAATATAAACTGCATAACATTCATGTTAAAAGAGATTAAACATTGTTATCAATTATAGATTTATTAAACAATAAAAAATTATTTAGTATGTTAACTACATTATTACATAAATTGATGTCTTAATGGTCAAAAGATTATCAGTACAATTGTAAGTCTAAAAATTATTTAATTAAAAAACGGTAAAAGATAAAAGCTAAAATAATCTTATGTATGTGTGAACACGTTAATACAATACTGTAAGACACGCTCAATTCAAACATTAGTTAAGATTGTCACGCTGCAGACTTAATAATAACATAGAAAAATTGGATTGGTCCAAAACTGATTGGATTAAATAATTAAGTCCTGGGTGTAATAATTAGATTACACTGTACATAAATTATAATAACTAGGTTAATCAATAGTACCTAATGTGAAGATAATATTTAAATATCACCAACCTTTGACTGTCCTATGAGTGTGTGTTGTGATATGTATTTGATGTGTAAGTGTTCACAGAATCTTCATCACATAACTATAGCATAGGTGTCCATATGTTGTATGACACTAAACTGCATTGCACAATTGAACATTTAAAAAAAAAAAATTAGACACACATAACGAACTTCAAGCAACTTAGAAATCACTGACAGGGCTGTGTAATTGGCAACCCCAGGGACTTTTGAACAGTTAGATGGTTCAAGATAACAGTATACAGAAACCAGAACCCAACTCACACTTAACGGATAAGATAATACTATGTACACGGGAACGTTGTGGGTGGGTGCCGTCGACACCACAGTTGTGAGCAAACTGATGTGTTCATTTTTCGATGACAAAATAATTTTAAATATTTAAAAAACTATTATTATTATGAAACTAAAAAAAAAAAAAACAATAATTGCACTGTAAGCGGAATTACTGCTGCTGCTGCTGCTGCTGCGGCGGCGGCGGCGGCAGTGTGACAATGATATTTCACCTCACCTGTACTGAGGTACCTCACTACCACAGTACCCGCGTTACCTGTAATAATATATTCACCTGTAATTTGTGTTTGTTTTTTTTTATTTACACCTATCCACCGTTCTGACAGTGCGTGCGGCAGAGACGACTCGAATTATTTGCCATCGAACGAAACTGTTTACGTTTACGTAAGTCGGCGACGGGTGAACGGCCAACTGCCATGTCTATTGTCCGTAGTAGTTCTGTAGATCAGAATATCGGATCGATACGGCTTCAATTGAAACGTTTGCTTCCGCTGTGTTGGAAAACGATAACACGAGTAAGGATTCGGATGGGTCATGGCCCAGGTAGCTGATGTACTAAAGCCAAATAATTATTATACCTTGAAGACTACATTTACGACCGAATTTTGATTAGTTATTTTCCGCGCGACGGGCACTGAGCGTTATCAGAATCAGGCTATCAGAGATTTCTTCCGTGGTTCCGTCCATTCGACTGATAACAAACGAACTGCCATCGCCGGACGATGAATAATGTTTATCAAAATATTGTTTTTTTACGATTTTTCATTGAAAACACAAAGTTTTTATTTTTTTCATTTCCTAAGGCGGATTCCATTAGAATTTAGAGTTAGTTGTCTCTGCAAATTCGTCAATTATTTATGTCGGCTGTCGCTAATCCGTCCACGTCATCGAAGTAAGTGTTCACGTACAGCGATTTTACGCCAATACACTTTAATCTTATTGATGACCCCATATTTCGGTTGGTTTATGTATAGTTGATTTTATACATTTTCAAAAATTACATTATTTTCCTACTATCTTAGAACATTCACAATTGATTTTACCAATTAAACCTTAATTTGTTTGCAAAGATAAACTAAAATATGATATAGAGATTAATACATTTAAGATTGTCTGAATATCGTAATATTTGTAAAGTATAAGAATGTTAACTACCTACCCACCTTCGAAAATATAAATATTTATCTTACAATTGATTGATAGAAGATAGATATTTAAGAAGTATAATTTCTGATAATACCTAGGTACCGAAATGGAGAAATTTACACCTTATTTAAAATTAAAAATTTCTTTAAATTAAATAAATTTTATAAATACATTTCATAAATTGTCCAAGTGTAAATACCAATATCAATACTCAAATAAGTACAATATTAAAAAAAAAACTTTATAATTTATATGATTTGTTGGTATCCAATATCATTTCACAGTATAAACTAAAATTTTAATTTTAAATAAGTTTTGTTGAAACTTAGATAAAATATTTTCCAGGAAAAAATTAAAAAAATTATTTAATATATAGACCTATATTATAAATGTTAGCTTAGCAAATTATTTATAATGGTATGGTATTATAAGTTATTACTGCAGTTGACCATTGGCAATCATGTTCCATTTTTCATATTTCTTTAAAGATCCACATTGACTATGCTAATAAAACTTAGATCTTAAATAATATATTTTGTCTACATAAAACTCGAATAATAAATTGATAATCTAATTAGCAACTTCCTGTTCTTAGGATAATGGACGGAGACAGTGATAGATCTTTGTCACCTAAGTCTTATGAAGAAAAGATATTGGCCAAAGAGAATATAGAACTGATATTAGCAAAAGATGTCATAGAAGAATCTTTGGACAAAAATTTTATGTTCCGTAACATTTTTAAATGTTTACGCTGTGAACTAACTTTTGAGAATGAACACCAATTACATAATTGTATAGCACTGCCTCTTAACATAAACAAGCAAAAGAAATTAAAGCGAGTGTTCAAATGTTCGCTATGTGATAAACACTATCTCTTTCCATCGTTAGCCATGCTCCATTTGAAACGTCATCAAAAATACTTAGAAAGTAAAGTAGAGAACATCTGTGATATGTGCAGTGCCAAATTTGAATCTGCAAAAGAATTAAAAGATCATTTTGAGGTGGAACACAATATTATTCAATTTCAATGTAATATTTGTGATAAGTTATTTAAGCAAGCCAGGAATTTACAATATCATATGATGAGTCACTCAGGAGACAAGCCATTTCAGTGTGAGTTGTGTGGACACAAATTTACTAGGGCCGATCATTTGGTCAGACATCGGAGAGATAATTGTGATCAAATGGAATTTGAATGTGATTTATGTGGGAAAATTTATAATACTAAAAGAGGTACTGCATAATAAATTATTTTATTTATGTTGGGTGGATAAAAGTTTATTTGTTGCGATCATGATTATTATTTTCAGGTATTAGAACACATTTGAAAGTGCACTATGACAGTCCAAAGCCTGGTACCATATGGGCATTGTATACAGAATCTGGACAAAAATATTATGAGTGCACATTATGTAGTAAAACGTTTACTCAGTTTTCTAGATTCAAGGAACACATACGGACGCATACTGGGGAGAAACCTTTTGAGTGTCAAATTTGTAACAAAAGGTTTACTTGCCATTATAAACTTAAAATGCATGGTGATGTGCATACAAATGATAGACCCTTCAAATGCAATTATTGTGAGCTCAGTTTCAAAAATCGAAGGTACCTTAATAAGCACATGCGTAAACATGATGGAATCAAAAAATATCATTGTAGAATTTGCAATAAAGAGTTTCAATGGTACAATAGTCTGAAATATCATATGGCCTCACACTCTGATGAAAAACCATATGTATGTATTGAATGCAACAAGTCTTATTCTCATCTTAGTACCTTAGTAACTCACCAGCGGACTCATGGTGAAAAAAATTATGAATGCCATATCTGCAATAAAAAATTTAGTTATTCTAACACGCTAAAAAATCACTTAAGTACTCATAGTGGAGATAACCCATTCAAGTGTCATCTGTGTCCAGCTCAGGTAAAATTTGTATACTTTCAATGGCTAATAATAAAAATTAATTAATACTTGATTTTTACAGTTTGCTACAAGTACATCGCTAAAAATTCACTTGAATACACATGGTGGAGATTATCAATGTAGTTTTTGTGGCAGTACTTTTTCCAAATTATCCAATCTGAGATGTCATGAACGTAAGGTACATTGCAAAACAAATTTCTATGACTGTGGAGTTTGTGAAGAAAAATTCAGTTCAAAATCGCAAATGAAAGAGCATTTAAGACATGATCATCACATTCAGTTTACAAAAACTGTCACTGTGTACAATGTTGAATGTATACAAGGTCTCTATAAAGATTCATAATATTGTATCAATGTAATAATTTAAATTATAAATATAACAAGTATTTAAAAAAATGTTGGGAGTAAATCAATGGTATTTTTAAAAGTTATATAATTTCATATGTTATGTAGTTAAATTTTAATTTAACTACATAATGTAATTGCAAATAATAATATATTAAATCATATTACCTTTTGTCAGGGTTAGCTTGATGGCAGTATAGTTACTATTTAACTACTAACTACATAGTCCCTCACACATTTAAATGTTACCTGGCCAGCCTGAAGTGTAGGCATTTAGGGCTGGTTGACATATAGTCAGTTTTCAATAATTAATTAATTAATTATCATTATGCAATATCTGTTTTATTAACTATTTGCTATGAATTGGTTCTTAATTGGCTAGAATAAATTGTATTTATTCAGTCAACCAGATTCATTTATGAGCATAACATTGCAGTCACAAAGTACCACTTGAACATGCCATTAAATATGTCCCTCAAAATTATTTGACACATATACCAGATTAATCACCAAGCTGGCTCTTCGATTTTATTTTTTTTTCAAAATGTATATAATACACATAAAATTATTTTTATCCAAAAATTAAAATTGGTTTTTTGTAATTGGTTTCCCATAATTATATCCATTTAGGCACAGTTCGCCTAAAAAACTAGCACACATATATGAGATCTAAAACAGTATCACCAGAGTCGCCACAAGCCTCAGAACTTCACAACTATCTGTTTGTAAATTAGATATTAACCGTGCACATTTTATTAGTATAAAAACTGGATCAAATAATTATTTCTCTGGAGAACCATTCAATTATCAATAAAATAAATATTGTTTGATTAATCTTTAGTTGTATTATCAGAGTGACATTGTAACTTGAAAAATGTGTAGTTAATACTATGTAACTAACACATTAACATTCACACTAAATTAGATAAAATGTAAAGTAATATGACTTACAAATCAAATTATATACCTACTTAATATTATAAATTATATTAAAATTTTTGTAGTCACTAAGTTGTAATATAATATAAGTAAATACTAACTATACAAATTGAATAGGTTTATATTTTTTTATTACATTTTCAATAATAACATTCCACTAAAAATGTGGCAACTTATTTAAATATGTAAACTAAAATAAAATAAACAAAGTGGGTACAGCCTGTATTCCAATTTATCAAATTTTATTTCATGTTGATAAATTATTAAATACCTCTAACACTATCCATTTATAAAGGCTGCCAAAATTAAAAAAAAATGGAACATAGTCATAAATAATATACTCTAATTTACATTAGTATTTGATAAAATCATATAAGATTTATTTTTTAAATAACTTACAATATTATACTACTTGTTTAAACTTTTCATCTCCCCACCTCAAAACTTTTCGACTTCCATCATTTGACAAAACTATTGTGTACAACTGCAGCTAGAAATGCACTGTAAGGTTATTGCCTATCTTAATCATATTAAAAATAATTTCATATATTTAACAAAATTGTATTTATCATTATTACTTAGATATTTATTATGTTAAATTCAAATAAATGTATTATATCTAATTTCAACTATAACTGAAAACACAGATATATACAAAATGTTGATTTTGGATACCAACATAAATATTAAATTTAATTATGAATATTAATTAAAATAAGAAGGTATCTCAATTTGAAGTTAAAAACTAAATAACTTATACATTGAAATGTGATTTATAATCATAAAGCAATTTGTAGAGTATTTTATTTAAAAATAATCCAATTTAAAATACGTAATAATTACACGTGGAATTGAACAATGAAAAATTATAGAAT